TGTTTCAGCTTTTCCAGAAGCGTTCTCCTGACAAAGCATCTGGTTTAGATGGTTGGGCTACTCGGGAGCTTCTCCAGTTACCACCTTGTGGTTGGGTTGGGTTCTGCTTTTGCATGCAGATTGCAGAAGCAACAGGTGATTGGCCACAGGTTCTTAAGATGATTGCAGTATCTAGTATCGCTAAGAAACCCCTCGTCGCATCTCCCGAAGATACTAGAGCCATAGGCGTCTCTTCAGCAGTGTATTCTGTTTGGTCATCCTTGCGCTTTAAACAGCTTGCAACATGGATGAACCAGATTTGCCCTGGTAACCTCTTAGGAGGCCTTGCCCACCGAACTGCTGATACCAGACCCATACGCCCAACGTGTTTTGCATGGGGGCCCCTGGATTTTACATTTCCGTGTCCCCGGAACCACCCGACAGAATGTAAAACGAAGGGGGGGGGCTAACCACAAGAGAAAGGATGAAATCAGTGTTGAATCCAAGGTGGTCACTATCTTCACTCCCCTCACACTCTCCCTGCACTCTCCCTCGTCTCAGTCTACCCTCTCCACTCTCTCTCCTCAAAGAGCTTCAGCATTCTTTTCATTACCCCCCTTGCGGTCTCTTGGTTCGCAGCAGCTATTCCACTGCCACTTCGCAGCTTCGATGCTGCACGATTCTGCTGCCACAGCGCGGTCAATGTTTAGGGTTCAGACAGGGTTTATGGGAGCAGTACTGGAGCAGTATGTGGCGTGGGCACTGCCTGGGCTAGACTTGGGCCAGGGCCACTAGTTTGCTATCGGCAGCAGGTTCGGACTGACGTCCCCAATGGCTTTCAGGAAAGCTTCAAAGACAGGAAGTCGGCTGGCATCTGTCGGTGCCACCAACGAAAACTTGGACCACACACCCCGACTGTACTGCTCAGCTGTGATCTTGTTTGCTTTGCAATGTAAAAGGAAGGCCCCCCTTCCAGTTTACATTGCATTACGCCCCCGCCCCTCCTCCGCCCCAAAGCCACCCAGGCCCCACCACCCAGGACTTTTGCAGGGGCGGAGACGTCACTCAGACTTATGGCAGATGTGCGCAGGATACAAGTAGGACTTCAATGCGACTCTAGCTCATCAGACCCAGACTCGCCAGGGACCTGGAAATGTAAAATGAAGGGGGGCCCGTCATTTTACATTTCCAAGGGTTTTGGGGCTTACTTGGAGGAGATGTGTAGGAATCCGGCAGGTATCAAGCCAGCATCTAACAGAAAGGTTCAGGGGTCAGAAGCCTCGTCGGATCCCAGCTAGTCAATTGCCAGTCAGCTCCCGGGGACCTGGAAATGTAAAATGAAGGGGGGGGTCGTTTTACATTCCTCCCGTGCTACACTTGTGCCACAATCTGACATTGACAACCACCGACAACGAAGTACTTCACTGGGACCTCTGCAGGTCACCCTTAATCATGGACTGGACATGAGATGAACGCACACTGTGTCATCGCACTGGCCGCGTACAGAATGGCAACCAGGAACGCCTCTTACCCTGTCTGTCTTCGAGAGCACTTCTTTCCGACAGGGCTATGCCATTTTTGGGCACGAGTAGCAGCATGTTGCTACTGCCCATACACTGTCCCAACACTGTTTATATTATACTGGTGGTATAATGTGGCAGGAATAACACTTGGATAACGGCATATGCAGCCAGCCGAGGTCAAGACGGCTGGATATGAATGGCTTCCGGTCGCCAGGTCAGGCGCCGTGTTTTCTTTGTTTCTTCGGAGGCTTTGGGAACCAAGCCAGAAATGTAAAATGAAGGGGCCTCGAAGTTCTTTTCGGAAGCCCCGGCCCAAAAAAATAAAATGTCACAGGATAAGTACGGGGGGGTCCATTTTACATTGTTAGGCGTGGGGCTGATACCAGCGAGGTTGATTTGTCCCTTGCTCTTCACGACCCTGACTCCCATTTTGACCTTATTGCAGTCTTCATTGATAGGTGGAAGTGCTTCGATCTTATCTTACCCTACGTGGCTTTAAATGTTGCTGCCCAGTTGGGACTCCCCGATCAGATCTTCAGGGCTGTTCTTGGATTTTATGGTGGGCAATGCAAGTTTTTCAAGCTTGGTAATGTTTATGGGAAGCGGGTTATGTGCACTAATTCGGCTGTTCAGGGGTGCTCCATGTCCATTTTAATGATTAACTGTATGTACGCTGTCTTGTCACGTCAACTCAATACTGTTTGTCCCTCCATTAAGTTTAGCACCTTTCTAGATGATTCCAAAATTTGGACCCGAACTAGTGACACCAATGCACTTGTAGATGCCTTTAAAGCCATCCACGAGTTTGATACCGGGGTCGGACAAGTTTTAAACGATGAAAAAACCATCGTCGCGACCCGTAGGAAACGAAATGCTAAACGATTTCTGTTGAAAGTCGGCAGAGCCTGCAAAGCAAAGAAACAAGCCAAGTCATTGGGTTACTCCCACCAGTTTGATAAGAGGCATTCTCCTAAGCTACAGGATGAGCGAGTCGATAAGGCCAAGGTTGCCATGCTGAAGATCTCCCAACTTCCCTTGTCTCCCGAAATGAAGGCCATTCATGTTCATGCTAACGGCCACTCTAAATGGGTATATGGGACTGAGATCCAAGGCCCTTCTAGGAATGCCTTGGCCAAGCTGAGAACTGCAACAGCAAAAGTTTTTGTCAAAAAGGCTAACAATATGAGATGTCCTTTCCTTTTGTTTGCCACGCTACAGGACCCTTGGCTGGACCCTTTTGCAAAGTGGGTGCAGCACGTTTTCTTGAAGTTACGCCGTCTGGCCTACCTCAAGCCAGAGTTGCTTCGCAAAATCTTATCTCAAGTTCGTGAGGATGCTAGAAATAGGCCTGCGCCTAAGCACAACGTAGCTAACGGTGTAGTCAATGTTGTGGCTTACTTGTTTTTCGCGCTTGGTTGGAAAGTAGGTGACCCCAATGCCTTCAACTTGGTTTTGTCTGATGGCCGCATCATCTCCCTCAAAGCAGGTTCCAAAGACGCTTTTTTGGAAGAGTTGGCGCGGGACGTCAGGAAGTATTTACTCAACCAATCACCTTTCAGGTATGACAACCCGACTCCAGGACAGTATGGCACGCCAGATGTGTACCTTACGCGGTTTCTTCTCGACACGACCTTTGCAAAGGATGACGATTTCCTTTTCCTTCGTGGGTATCTTGATAAGCTCCCTCCGAACATACACTACACACGTGGAATTTTGTCATCGCTTCTATCTGGGTCTGTCTACAACGGACATCGCTATAGAGCGGCAGGACTACGTGACAGCGCTGCGTGCCCACAGTGTGGGAAACAGGAAACACATTGCCACATGTTCCGTGACTGCGAAGCTTTACAGGAATCCATCCCGTCCCAAGGTGACGAACCTTTGTTATCCTGGGTAACGGGTATCTTTTTCGAGCCACCCCACTTCCATGACGAGCCTACACAGGCGTGGAAACTTCCGGTGGTGGAAACGCGCTGGTGTCCACAGTCCACGATTTTTGTGGATGGCAGTGTTTTTCACCATCGGTGGGTGCCAATCCGCGCAGGTGCCTCCGCAGTTACAGTTCCCGGCCTTTTTAAACATGCTGTAGCCGTGCACGGTGCCTCTGTTAACTCTTTTCGTTGCGAGCTTTATGCTTTGATCTTGGCTATCCATTTAACAGACGGGGACATCACTGTCGCTTCTGATTGTGCTAGTGTCCTACGTCGTGCCCAATTCTTGCAGATGCATAATTTTGAATGGGATTGTCCTTACCAGTTTGAAAATCCAGATTTGTGGGATCTGTTTCTTGTTGTAGCAAGGGCACACAATGGAAGCATACGGTTTGTCAAGGTCAAAGCACACACCAAAGGAGAAACATCGCAGTGTCCTCTTCTCACCGCAGGGAATGAGCAAGTTGATGCTTTAGCGAAAGCCACAGCTAAAGCTCTTTCTTCCGATCTTATAGCAAGGTCTCGCCCTTATCTCCAGCAAGCAGTTTCCGTGCAAGTTCACTTGGTTGCTACTTTAGTTAAGCGCTCGGCAGCTTGCCAACTTGCCCCTTTTGACGAGGACGAACAGGCCTCTGCAGGACTAACACAGACTGTGATCTGTACTTGTAAGCCCCGCAGGCGGCTAAATAGCAAGCGCCCTCGGAAATGCTACAGTAATTGTCATTTAATGGGACATTCTGTTCTGCTTGGGGATGTAGAGACAAAGGTGCTGCAGATGTACAGAACGAATACTTTACCGCCTGATGTCCTCTTTGACTGTCTTCGGCGCAGATATCTCGGCTTCTTCGCGCATCTCCAGCCAGAAGGGATGCAGTTTTCAGGGTGGCAAGGGCTTAGCCTAGACCCGCTTCTTCGGGGTAGAAGACCATTGTCTCAAGCAGCTGCTGAAGCCCTTGCCAACTTTGTAAGCGAGCAGAGATGGTTCTTTTGCGACAGGCCTCAAGGGGAACGAACTCCCTGGCTGGTAGTTTTGATCGAGTTTCTTGCAGTGTATGGTTTCTTTCCTGGTTGGTTGGTCCCGGGCATGACCGCCCGCATCCTGGTGTCTCGCTTCAGAACTTTCTTCTTAAGATTGTGCAAAGGCCTTCCGACCAGTATTCATTCCGTTAAACATGTTAAATCAGCGGCAGTCTTTGGTATGAAAAGCCTTAGTGGCTTCTATGGGTCCATGAGGTGTCAACATTTTCACCATCAGATGTTCATTTTTCTCCAAGCTAGCCTTGCTCAAAGCGTATGTCTCCCTGATAGGAAATCGCTTGGCCACAAGTGGACCCCCAAATTCGATGGTTTTGACGGTATCCCGCCGTATTAGTTTCCTTATTTTGTCTGGATTCAGAAGCAGCCTGAAGCGGCTACTCATTGTTACTTGTCGACAGGTCGCGGCCTCAGACACACAGTGCAGCAAAAAAAATATTAAGGATCCCTTTATGATTTAGGGTATATTCCTTAGTTAAGGAGTATTGGGCTCTCTGGAGAGGGCGTCAGGTGGGGCCAGCTGCCGCAGCCGCTAAGCCACAGCGCCTGCAAGAAACGCGCTGCACCGCGGGGTTCGCGCGCATCCCTTTCAACTGAAGCAGCCCACCTCATCTAGTCAGGTCAGTGATGGAGATGGGTGGAGATGGGGAGAGGAGACAGGGAGGGAGACGAGGGAGACAAGAGAGAGAGAGAGAGAGTCAGAGAAGGAAAAACCAGAGCAGAAAAAGAGCCCAACAATTCCAAACAACACCACTTCTTGAGTTGGGCCTGGTAGCCGCGTTTCCGGCTCCTCCATTATCAAAGGCCTTGCGGGCTTTTCGTCACCTCAGCTTTGGCAGCCAAACCAGCACAATACATGTCGCGGAAGATGGCGCCCCGTCATCCTACAGCGACCTTCCGACGAGACAAGAAACTACAGCGACAGAGACATGCTAATTTCTCGCATTGACAGCACCTGGCCAATCAAAGCCTCTGCGTTCACCATGTACTAGTGGCCGAAGGCATGATGTGTCCCCCAAACCCCTTCTGGCCCGAGGCTCATGTGCAAGCAGGGCGCCCACAAAAGACTCGCCGGCAAAGTGCTTGAGGATCGCCTCCTGCGCGCCCCCGCTTAAGCGCCCGAAGTAGTTCATGGTACTTCTATGAACCCAACTATAACTGTACTCATAACCCAATTGTAACCTATTTTAGGGCACTTAAGGGGCTTGCAAGTGGGCTATCAGTACAGTGATATCTGGGTTAAGAAGTACCATGAACCTCCAAGTAAGCCCTCTTTTCAGGCCACCCGGGCTTTGGGAAAGAGGGTTTAGGGGCTTAAGACGGTTTCGTGGTTAATCGTCGTAAAGCCTAAACCCTAAACCCTAAACCCTAAACCCCAAACCCTAAACCCTAAACCCCAAACCCTAAACCCCAAACCCTAAACCCTAAACCTAAACCCTATAGCAGCATGCAAACGCGCTCGCATGGCCTCCAACTGGCCCAAGCAGCCGTTCGCCTGGTCCAAGCCCTTCCAGCAACCCTGGAGCCAAGAGCAGGGGTTTAGGGTTTAGGGTTTAGGGTTTAGGGTTTAGGGGTTAGGGGTTAGGGGTTAGGGGTTAGGGGTTAGGGGTTAGGGGTTAGGGGTTAGGGGTTAGGGGTTAGGGGTTAGGGGTTAGGGTTTAGGGTTTAGGGTTTAGGGTTTGGAGTTTCGGGTTTAGTGGCTCGCGGTGTTAGGTTTAGGGCTTCTGCAGTCTGAGGGATGTGGATTCGTCATCTTGTGAAATGGAAGGTGAAAGGTCTGAGCACCAAGAAAACCCGAACGCGGGCTTAGGCAAGGCTCCCGTGTTGCCGCAGAGCAAAGATCTTCCAACCCTAAACCCTAAACCCTAAACCCTAAACCCTAAACCCTAAACCCTAAACCCGCAGGGCCCCTGCCCCACATGGAGTACCGTCACGCACTGATCTGCGAAGTGCCCCTGAAACCCTCAACCTCCGAAACCCAAAGCGGCCGAAGCCCCCTAAACCCTAAACCCTAAACCCTAAACGCTAAACCCTAAACCCTAAACCCTAAACCCTAAACCCTAAACCCTAAACCCTAAACCCTAAACCCTAAACCCTAAACCCAGCCCCAGCCATCATATGAGTTTAGCAAAATAAGGAAAAGCAGGCCTCGACCTTGCCCTCGAGCACCACCACCCGCTGCTCCAGCCACGCCTGAAGCTTGCTGGGGTTTAGGGTTTAGGGTTTAGGGTTTAGGGTTTAGCGTTTAGGGTTTAGGGTTTAGGGTTTAGGGTTAGGGTTTAGGGTTTAGGGTTTTCTCCAAAGAGTTCGGATCGAGGATGCCCGAAAACCCAGATGCGAAGGCCCAGCCCAGCCACAACGAAGTCCTAAAATCGTCCCTGGCCGTGATGTGAACCCACCTAAGACGCCTGCCTGCGGCTTTGCGAGGCGTGGGCTCTGCCGAGACTGGAGTGAGTACTGGGCCTTGCGAGTTTAGGGTTTAGGATTTCGGATTTTTTTGGCCGCCCGACCAAGCAGAACAAGCCACACTGCGGGGCAACGCCTGGGGTCAACCGCAGCTGCAAAGCCATGTCAAGGGTTTCGCTCACACTCGGTCAAGCTGAGGGCTAGCCCTAAACCCTAAACCCGAAACCCAAACCCTCTTCGGGCTTTGAAGGTTTAGCCCCCGAAGAAACCCTCAGAAGCAGACCTTGACCCTCTTCTAGAGATTCCGACTCCATCGGACCTCGTCTTCCAGGCGTTTTGCCAACAGCTCGATGGCCTCTGCCTGCCTCGACCGGGCCGCTATTTTGCTCAGGGCCGGTTTTGTTTGTGTTTTCTGTTTTTTTTTTTTTTTTGGGGGGGGGGGGGGGGGGGGCGGTTGGGAGTAAGTTCCAGATGTATTCCAACATATGCGGAGTTTGCAACTTTGCCATAACAGACCATCGAGTCATAGAGCGTATAAGGGTTATCCCAGTTTACCGCAACAGAAACCTCCCCCCCCCCGCTCCCCCAAAAGAAAAAGCCCCGAAGTCTTCCGACTGCGGCCCCGTCGCGTGGCCAGCTGCGACTCCGCCTCACGCGACTGCACTTGCCTTGCTGTGAGCTTCGTGAAGCTACAGCTGCAGGGGGCATCACAACTGCGGAACTTTGGCAAAGAAAAGCGCCCATCTACGACCTGAAACAAAACCTTGTGAGCAGCGGGTGGCCATGGCAACAGGAGCGGCGGCCGAATAGCGCTCTATGCAGACCGGCATGGAAAAGTCACTGTAGGACTTTCGCGTGAAAATCTTCAAGGGCGCGTGCAAACAACGCAACGCATCGAAAGTAATCCGCAACTCTGGGCAACGTCAAAGTGTGTGACAAGCCTTCACACCCCGAAGTCCTGACAGCCCCAGACTGACCCGAAACCTGAATGCCTGTGGCCTCCAATGCACCTTTGCTGCAGGGGCACAGCTGCTTCAGACGCGGCTCGACGCTGGCTCGCTCGAAGCGCTCCACCAGGGAGC